TAAGTATATACTTGATTTCAGCTGACATAAGCAACTCTTCTTTCGGAGATAGCTTCACGAGTGCAGGACTTTCTGTGACAAACAGAAAATGAGCTAAGCATCCTCCTTTTTTCATTCAAGATTAATATATGAGTCCCACATCAACAAGCAAAGCCCACTTATAAATTTAAAGCTGACCTGTTTTTACTGCATGCTCTTTACTCATAGCAAAAAGCTCCTCTTTGCTCTTTCCAATTGTTTGGGACAAATCCTACACCAGTGAGGAGCTTGAGTAAATAAAAGAGCTAGGGTCAACTATCTGGAGACCGTGTGTTTTCATCAGTCCTTACCGGAAGCGGAAAGCAGGGTGACTGCATGTATGCAGAATTGAAGTGATCAATACACTCTGCCTTGGTCTTACTGCCGACATGGTCTGAAACTTCTTTCCAATTCCCAAACCCGTATGTCGCAATGGCCTAATACAAAAGACTCTCAACAGTCACATGACATCTCTATCCAGACACAGGAGAGTACAATCACAAAAAAAAGGGATTTGTTAGAAACAACTAACGATTACCTCAAGAAGGAGTATCTCTTCATCGGCATTCCAATCAGAAGAAACAAGCGGAAAAGACAAATTGTCCTGTCACACAAAGGGTATATTCAATACAAACAAAACAAAACCATTGAAACATTTTCTTTGTTTTAAACATAAGCCTTCAGTTGAATTCAAATATACTGCTTGACGTTGGAAACTAACCATAACCCGATAAGGGTGACTGCTCTTGTGACGATTAAGTTCAACACCGACAGAGAAGCATTCCACACAAAGGTCAAAGTCCAAACAAACAGCGCATTTGAAACGAACCAATCCAGACAGATCTTTATCGCAATAATTACAACAGTAAAGTCCAGGCTTCCTCTCATTCCCAACTTCACCTCCTACATTGCATTGTAATGAATATACATACTTGTATCTACCAAGAACAGAAAATTTTCAAAATTGAAAGAAATTCACAGCTTTGCTCAGGTAATCTGAAACATACCGATTGAAATTGAAGCCACTGCATTCTCAGGACCCAAGGATAACTTTTTCCTTTTCGATTTTCTGAAACAGATAAAAAACAACAAATTAGGATAAAGACAAAAGATGGATGCAATACGAAATCAAAAACCCACAACCAAAAACTCCGCTTCAGATAATCAAACATGCCGATAAACACAACTAATTTGGATTACCAGAGATTCCAGAAATGAATTCGCAACGACAAGTTAGTAAGCAGAGAGAAAAGAACCCTAGACGAATTCGAGCTTAAACGGATAAAGAATGAAACTTTACACGAACCCTGGATTCGCGTCTTCCTCAGCAGGACGAGAAGCTAGTTTCGAACGACCCATCGGCACGAAGCTCCCACTTCTTCCCGGTAGATTGCAGAAACCAAAAGAGCACGAAAAAATAAAATAAAAAGGAGTGAAAAAATGATAGCTAACTAAATGACTATATTACCCTTAACAAAAGTCAATAAATTATGTTGACGCCATCTTTAAACCCTACCGGCAGTTGTCTCTTCTCCTTGTTAACCTAAACCAATCCAAAGTTGCCGCCACGGTCGCCGGAAAATCCAGAGTTGTGTCTTTCTATCGAATTCTCCGGTAAGGTAAAGAAGCTTTATGGGCTGAATTTTGTTTGATTGTGCTGTATAAGTGTTTGAACTGTTTCTTAAACCCTGGAAACAATTCGTGAAGCTTGAAGCTTAAATTCCGGTTGAATTTCTTCAGCAATCTGATCCAATTCTTCTTCTGAAACTGCGGACACGATCTTGTATTTTTTATGTCGGTGTTGTAGTAATGGTGGGGATTTCTGTTGGGGAGCAACACTTCCTTAAAGGTGGGATTGCTCAAGATCTTCGAACTGATGGTCGGAAAAGATTGACTTACCGTCCTATCTCTGTCGAAACTGGTGTTATACCGCAGGTAATGTAATCTCCGAGAGCTTCTCTGTTTCTCGTATGGTCGTGATTTTTTGCTTCCTAGTCATGTTTCACATATTTGCTTCCTCTCTTTACTTTTTGTTGGGTCTAGGCTAATGGTTCAGCGAGAGTTAAGATAGGTGGAACTGATGTGATTGCCAGTGTAAAGGTACTTCCTTTCTTCTCTCCATTGTCATTGTTGAATGAGAAGTGTTAATTTTCTACTGTAAATGTTAAGCCAATAATGTTGTGTAAATTTGCAGGCTGAAATTGGGAGGCCAAGTTCACTCCAACCCGATAAAGGAAAGGTTTCGGTTTTTATTGATTGCAGTCCAACAGCAGAACCGACATTCGGGGTGAGCTTTTCTATGTTATGGCCTGGTTTTTTGGTTATATCTAGCACTTTTCACATATGTTCTTTTGTTCTCTTTGTGTCTCTCTTTCAATTGGAACCTT